AACATTTCTCTACAGACCACGAAGGTCTCAACATTCCGACGTATGGTTAAGGTACCTTATGACTGAAACATTGCTTTTCCGGCTTTATTATAGCCTGGCTTTTTTTATTTTCTGTCTATTAATTTTTCTATGGTTAACGTAATGTGTAAGAATTTATATTGTGTCATTAATTTACATTAAGTTCTCGCTTTTTCTCATTTTATGAAGTAATGAAGAATTATCTATTGGTTTATTAATTTCAACTCTTGTTATAAGTTGAGTAAAATTTTCGAAATATGTAGAATCCGAAAATGGAATAAATATAATCCGTCCGTCCCCAATTTGCCGTATACCATATGATTTCCTGCGTACGCTCTTCTTTGAGACAACCGGAGTATTTTTGAGATTCGGTATCAATGTCAAAGGGCACCCGAGGATGATCCTCGAAACTCGACATTACCATCCTCCCTTTTCTTTAAAGATGGCGGTAGAAAACTGTGTCGCTTTGTACTGTAGCGCCTGGGGGCGGGATGGCTGTGCGGATTAAAGCGTGTGCAAAAAAAAAAAAGCATTGCTCAGCAACCAGATGATTGGTATACCGAAGTTTATAAGATAAAAAATAATTAGAGTTGTCCCAGTGCCAGTGGTGCTTTTAACTCAAGGATTTATCCCCTAACCCGGTAAAATTCCGGTATAGCCTAAAAGGCGAGGTAGGTGTAGAAAAAAAAAAAAAAAAAAAGACTAGCGTCAGTAAGTTTTAATGAAACGTACCCAAAGTCTTCTTCTCGAAGCCGTTTAAATGTATTTATACCTATACCATACTTCACTACGAAGTTCTTTCCTATCAAGATGGCAGTCGGAAAACCTTTACCATATAGATTGTAGCGCCTACTAATGCACCGATTTCGATGAAACTTGGCTAAAGTCTCCTCCTTCGAATACCTTTAAATTTATCAATATAACATGCTTCATTGAAAAGAAGCTGGAAAAAAATTACGGACTTCAGCTCGAAAGTCCTTCCCCCAGTAGATTCGCCTGTGGTTGATGGTAGTAAGTGGAACTGTGATATTCTCACCGCATCAAATTTATTTGCGCATATAGTATTAATGAATTCATATTTTGTAATAAAAACATTTTAATTATAGAGTTAATAAAAAAAATCAAATAAATGATGAAAAGCGTCAAATCAGCGTCAATCTAGATGAAAACAGTTAAACAGTTTAAAATCTTGCGAATCCTTGTGATTATAAAGATATGGGAGAGAGAAAATGTTTCTTTGAAGGTTTTCATAATTTTTATAATTGCTCCTAACGGTTTTATTAAAATAAAGAAGAGATAACTGTTAAAGTAATAAAAAAAACCTTGAGAATTGTGGGAATGCAAAGTGTTATTAAGTGAAGAAAAAGGAAGCAATGGTTAATGCGTAAGGTGTTGGGAAGATACACGTACTTACTATAATATTGTCCGTGTTAAAGACACGGTAATAAGTACCTTCCCATCGTTGAGTATGCACTTTATCCCATTTTTTTCTGTTAAGTATTATTTTCTTCACTAAGTTTTTTATTTTATGTTCATTTCTTTTCATATTTTTATATACCTACATAGATAACATTACTATTATTGCTTTCCATGGGTTGTCATTAGAACTTAACTTATAAGTTATGTGGCATTATCACTTCTACCAAGAAGTTTCAGCATAATTTTCAGTAATCTTAGTAAATTTAGTATGTTCTTAATCTGATTATTTTATATGTAGAATAGTAAAAGTAAAAATTATAAATGATATAAACATATTCATTCAAAACAATTAATTATACTATGTTTTTCCCATCTGCCTAATTGGACTAAATGTATGTGGTTCCTATCAGCCTCCATTACCTTTGTTGACTTTAGTAACACACTGATATATTATAAATCTTACTTTTTTTTTCATAACGGCATATTAAACATCGATTGTACCTACAGCTTGTTCCACTAAAGGATATATCCCCTATATATCAATCAAGAAATAAGACACTGCTATCCCTGAAGTTATATTAATTCATTACTGCATTCTCTCAAGACTATTCCTTTAGCTTAGAAGAGCCTTGGTCTATACTTAATAATAGCATGGGAGTTTGTTACTTCCCCCCGGTGAATTATATGATTCTTAGGGTGGCCTAAGGTACATTGTGGCCTATGGTACATTGTGGCCAAAAGTACATCTGTTTTCCCTACATATGGAGGGAATGGACTTCTGTATCACTATTTTCTTTTCCTCAAAACGGATTTTGAGCGGTCAAATATTTTTTTGTTCCCAGTTCCTACAGTGAATGATAATTCACCACGTCTCTCCTAAAATATTGGTACAAGAAAACAAACGTCTGTCTTCAACAAACTTCCACTTCACATTCATCTAGTTCTTGAAATCATACAAATCCTTTTTATGATTCTGTCATAGCTACAATTTTGGTGACATAATTTTTTATTTTAGTCGTTGCCTGAAATTTTACAAATAACCATTTATCTACAGTTCATTTTGCTACATCTGAAAAGCTACATTCATTCTTAGCTGCTGATAATTCTATTTCATCTCTCTCAATAAGATCTCGAACTTTTGCATTCATGTTTATCAGTAAAAAGTAATGCTTTAACTTTACTTTCATTTTACAACTATTTTTTTTCCTAATAAATTAAGTAACTAAGGTTGTTTTCATATGGAACTAAGATACAACGAAAGGTCATGAAATAGTATGAAATTATATAATTTTAGTGAAATATAGTAAAAAAAATGAAATAAAATAAATACATTAATAAAACTATACTAATATATTTAATATATATAAAAATATACGTACGGATGGGGGTTCTTAATGATTACTCTGGATTAAACATATGAATACATTGGAAATTTTTCATCATTGGCTTTTCCATACTGGTATGCTAACTTTAAATATATTACGCTGAAGTCAGTAACTAATGTTTTATACTTCTTCTTCTTTAAGTTCTTCTTCGAAAAACACCATGAAATAAGGATTTCTTCAGAAGAGCATATTTTGAAATTATATCAGTGCACCGTAATTATAACAGTGACGTAAGGTACAATGATATGACTTTATTTTTTAAGCAAATTCCTAACATATATAACTTAAAGATTGCATTCTAAAGAAGCTAAACAGAATACTGTACATAAACATACTAGTAATTTTGAGAATATTTATTCTTAAGTACCTTTTCGATGAAATTATTATATCAAATTAAAAATTTACTTTTTCCAGCATTTGAACATATTATTCGATATTATCAAACAACGGGGGCGATCAGAGGCAACAAATTCAACTGAAATACAACCGTGTATAGTAGTGCAGCATATTCAATGTTGCCACAAATCCTGAATTTCCCAGTGGGATTTCTCATTCCTAAGGTGGCCCAAGGTTCATTGTTGCCACGTATACAAGGTACGCGTATTTCCCCTACATTTGGTGTAAATGAACTTCTGTATCACTATTATTAGTGTCCTTAATTTGACTAAATGTAATAAACAAATTAAAAGAAAAAACAATATCAAATGTTTCTTTTGATATTATCCGAAGTGCCAAAGGAATCATAGAACTAGCCTCATCCATTTACTCTTATATTATTATTAAATTTTAAATCCGTCGAAGACTATGATAAGTATCTCATCATAAGTATATTTTAATTATTTAAACTCAAACATGTGTTGCACCATCGGTACCATAGCATGTAAGAGCCTTTGGGAAGGAATTACAGTTTTTTTTTCGGAAATAGTACATTTTAGGGCTTTGATTTGCTGTAGTCTGTAGTTCAATGCTCGATCAGTCCATTTTTGAAGCCACCTGAATTTTTCTTGCCGTGAAGTTTTAAGTTGGTATTTATCACTTCACCATGAAATTCCCTTTCTTCCGATACCTCATTCATCATTCAAAACCCATCGCTTCGAAGAACCGGAGAAATCTATACTGTGCTATTATTTGTATATATAATAAGTTACAGTACAGATTTTTTATTGCCAATTTGTATTACACTAGCTACTATTTCTATTCATTCTATTCTCCCTTTACATCATAATATATATTTTGTAATATTTATCACATTAGCAATTTGCTGAAAACAATAAAAACATAAAACTGAACATAAAACAGTAAAAAATTCTCGCAAGTACAACACAAAGTAAAAGTTGATATATAAAACCCTAATAAAATATATTGAATTTCAAAATATATAATAAAATATCACATAATTTAGTCTCCTTCATAAGTATACAAAAATTTGATGCTCCCCACTTATACCTTTTGCTTCAAGCTTAGGACCAGGAAGATGAGTAACATAATTGGAAGATGAGTTCCTTCTAAAATTTGATTTTAATGTTTGATTGGCCCAAATAGTCTCGCAATCTTTCCCGTATAATAAATCAATGTCTATACATTGTAGTAATTTGGTATTGGCCCGTCTTCTGTCTTCGAGTCCAAATCATCAAAAAATCCAATCGCTTCATTATTAGATTCCTCTTCTTGGCGGCGAATTACAATAAATACCTCTTCTGGAGTGGTATATCACAATTTGCGGTCCATTGTGACGCGAGGTTAAAAATTATTAAAACAAATAAAATAATGTTGAACTACTGGAATAATAAAGATATTTTTACATTTACAATAAGGGTGGGTCAACAATGCAACTTACCAGAATAGAACCACGTTAAATTTAAAGACAATTAGTTCAACAATGGATAGGAGGGTATCTGGAGTTTGGTGGGAAATGGGGGAAGAATTGCATACGTAATACACCAATCAAATGGACCCGAGTGCTATCGTTTGAGGATTAACCCTTGATGAAAAAAAATTGAAATAATTTTTATCATCAGAATTTTATTTATAATTTATTTTAATGAGATTTATTATATCTATTATAAGTTTGAATTGACAAAAATGGTAAAAATAAAGAAATAGTGAAAACGATAGTGTGTGCACGTTTTGATGCATTGTTGATGGCAACAATGCAATCATGTACATATTCTGTTATACAAAATTAATTTTTTATTTAGTTTTTTGTTTTAACTCAAAATTGATTCTAAATATTACTTATTTGATGATTAAATTTGGGTAAGTGACATACATTATTTCAGTGATACCAAGTATTATTTTTTTTTTATAGAATAATTAACAAAAACACACAATAAATTTTTCGACAGCAGGCTTATGGGGCAGAGCAATTTCAAAAATATCTGGTACAAAAAATGGGGACATTTTTTTAAGTTTATTTATTTTCAAACAAACTTTTACCTTTTTTACCAATTATTTTCTTTCCAAATGTTGAAATAATAACAATCAACCCAACCTGTAGTTTTACGCGATTAAAACGAATCCATAGGTTATTAGAAACCAATCAACAAACTGTGATTTTCATTTAATTTAGTTTGTTATTTAATTGAAAAAGGGCTTTTCAGACGAAAATTATGCTAAAGCGGTGTAATTAATTGTTTAATGCGTCGGCAATCTCGGGCTGAGCAAGCTGAAGATTAGAGAACAGCGCCCTATCAAAGAGCAAAAACAAATATTGACAGAGGGGTGACTGGCGAAGAGAGGAGCCGAATGTAGCCGAACTTGCCCGAACACTACCCCCACCAGCTGAGATCTTCCCCGTACGGCCGACCACCCGGCAGTGCTCCCCGAGCAGTCTTCGATACGGATTGTGGGTGAGTGTTGCTGGTTCAGTGAAATTACGTCGTCATGGAATACTTGCGATATGTGTGAGTAGTCGTTTAATGTTCTTTTACTTCATTTTATTCTACTATTTACGGTAATATATTGAGTTGTATTTCCGCATTTACTTTTTTAAAAAATAAGTCTTATCCACAGGTTGTCAGCCTAATCTATCTTCTAAAAGAAGCACTCGATTTTTTGGAATTATTAACCCTTACCTACTTGAATTAAGCCGTAATCATATAAAATCTTCATTGTTCATTTTCATTCTTTTAATGGCTTGCATATGACATTCATTTGTTCATATTTTTAGTCTGTGATAATTTGTTTTTAACTCCACAGTTTTAAGTGAATTTAATTATCAAACGTAATCGTTAAACATTTAAAATAAATTTTGAGCAATTTTTAATTGTAATTATTGAATTCAAGTATGAATTTTGCTGTTTCTATAAATTAGTAAATATCATTGTTGTAGTTTTGCAGTAATATTACCTTCTACTCAGTGATAACATTAATTTAGATACCAAGGTTATAATCATATTAATTTTATGCATGTCATCATTGGCTACATGTTTTTTTGTTTTTTTCATACCTTTATCAGTAATTGTTGTATGCAATTGTTATAAACAATAGAATATATTTTGAAATACTGATAGCAATGATTTATAATAATTTTATTATGTTTCGTCATATTAATTTCATTCGATAAATATTGTATTTTATAAAAAAAAAAACAATTTTTTTTTTACAATAATATATGTTGCATTTGTATTGAAATGTGTATCTTTTATAATGGACCTTTTTCACATTATTTAAATATGATTTATTCTTATGACGACAAGGGGCTTGTGATATTTTCGTGGGCGAGAAGTCATCAACCGCTGCCCGCAAGTTTGAAAAAAAGTCAAGTTTATTTCAAGCCTAAATTTAGTATCTGTTGCCAAAATTCTTTGATAATAACATTATGTTTGTTTTTTAATAAAATTTCTTAGTTACTGTTTGGTTTTCGTTAACTCAAATTACAGTAAAAATTATTATTAATAGATTTTATGCTAATTTTATGTAAATAATAGCAACTCATATAACAAAATATTAAAATGAAATAAAGTATAAAATTATAAATATAAATATTTTTTTAAATGTTTAGATTTACTTTTAATTCTGCTTAAAGGTATGTTAAAGTTTTACTTCGGGTCATTTGTATATATTTTTCTTGGGCCAAGAATATGTTTTAATCTTTTATTTTCGTTTAATAGATTCATTATCAGCTTGAGTTACAGAACGTCTGCAATGGATATTTTTATTCTAGTTGGCCCTTGCGATTAATTCACATGGTGTATTGGTTAGTGACCAAATGGTTGATATAATATAGACATAATTAAATGTAATTAACTCTCAGAAGGAATATTTTTTTCTCGGCCAGTTAACAAGTTTATTTATTGAAAACAAGTATATTAAGTCTAATAATATGCTGTGACCTTAGTAGAAATGGTCCGTTTTCGATTAATTTTTTTATTAATTTGTATATTATTATGTTTATAACCTGCCATTTATGACGAACACAAACATGTAGATACTTTTTGAATTATGAGTAGATTAGTTGTTTGTACTTATTTTTCTGGGCATATGCTTCTTTTTGAGCATTCCAGGAGGTAATTTCCAAAACGCAATTCTTCAAAGGTTCCTGTTTCTATGATTGTTTTTCATATTATCATGTTTATAATCTACAATTTATGAAAAACATAAACATGCAGAGTGTGTACATGATACATTTTGAATTATGGGCAAATAAATTTTTTTCATACTTATTTTTCGGGGGATGAGCTTCTTTTTGAGCATTAGGAAAAAGGTAATCTTCAAAACGATGTCGATTGTTGTGCGTTGGATGTACATTGTTGCGATAGATCTTAAAATTATTATTTTTGAGTAAGTGAAAAATATTTAATTCTGTTCTTTTATTGTTTTAACCTAAATTTTAACTAGCTAATATGCATGGGCATAAAGCAATATATATTTTTTTTAAAAACCTTAGTTCCTATCACTATGAAATTCATTTTTTTTAAATTAACATTTTTACATAAAGAATTATCACAGTACTTACGTTTTAATTCAATTTTCCAGAATATTAAATGGCAAATGTTTTCCAAGTTGAAAGCATCATGTCGGGAATCCCGGTGTCACTAATTCCAGCAAAACCACACAAATGGAATGCGCCCTTAGTGTATGTAATAGTAAACAAAATGGTGTTTATAATAGTACATCCTCTTACGTAAACTTGTAAAAGTTTTATTATATAAAATAATTTTTCAAATATTCAATTAAAAATTTCTATTTCGTGTATAATTAAAGCAGACGAAAAAAATAATATTATTTAACAGCCTAAAACGTCTTTTAATCAGTACGAGGTATATTGGTCCAAACAGGAATGATAATAAAGAACATGCCACTTATAATTAATAGATTATGTTTTTATAAAATATTTTATGTTTATTACTTATGCTAAAAATATTAATGATGTCCTGAGTATATTTATCAGATTGAATTAATAGTGTAGACATTTTAATAACAGAATTTAGTCGGACAATGCATTTCTCTTCTCCATCATTTTTTTATTTTCATTATTAATCACTTCGCTAGGGCGGGGCCTACTCGGAACATATCCCGGATCTATCAACTTCATAGTTGAGGAATGAAACCATCATTATTCTGTACTGTTGTACTTCAATATGAACTTGTATAAATCAGAATACTTTACGAATCTTGAAATAATACCAATCGGTGGTTTAACATTTATGTGCACGAAACAGAGCTTATCTAATTACGATTTGCTTATTTTTATATTGTTAATAGATGTAATTGGCCGGTTTGTTGAAATTTTATAATTGTCTACGAAGCTTTTTTATTCTAGTAGCTACTCATTTATTAATGTAAATGATGAATTGAAAGATACAATTCAATGAAGATTCCGCAATCAACAACGTGTGTCTAACTTTAATTTAGGAAGTTTGAAGCTCTCAACTTTTTTAGGCCTATAGTTCATGCCTGTAGTCGCATCCTCCCACCTATTTTATTCAGCAAAACACTAAATCACATAATTATGAAAATGCTGGATGAATAAATATAATATTAACTTTTTTAGTGTATTGTTTTAATTTTTACATTTTCGTTACTCTATTGACATTACATAATGGAGTTTCCGTCAAATGTTATGTATATAAGTACTTTTATCAAACATTCATTTTGTGGTAAAAAATTAAAATTGATATATTTCTTACATTAAATATGATTGTAACCAGGATTGCCCAGAAGGAGGCTTCACGGCGCAATTTGAAATTGTTGATACCAACTAGTTTTAAAATGGAAATGCAAATCTTTTTCTATATCATTGTTTGTCAGTCATGACGAAACAATGAATATAATTTTCGACCTTTACATATACTTACAAAATAAAATTTAACAATGTAAATATCATTTCAAATATTATAGTGTCGCATGTCCCGCAACAACGACGTCCTGCTATGTCATCGTTTTGTCTAGTTTTAAATCATGCAATCGTTATGGTTTCTGGCGGTAAAAACTAGCTGTAATAATAAAATTATTTTTATATATGTATACATATTGAGGAGCTTGAGTTTAAATTAAAAAAATTAACATATTTTTTAGCTCAAAAACAAGAACGTATACATCTCCAAATCTCCAGTCTTGTCATATTGCATTATAGGCGCCGCCCCCTCCCCCCAATACTACCGTGGCGGGGCTCATCCCCTTCTCTCCCTCCCCCCCCCCCCCAACAAACTGCTATAGTTTTATTTCATGAAATATGAAATTTCATGAAAATATCGATCGTGTGCATTACAAAGGACTTTATCTATTCACTAGAAGATATAGTAGAATTTGTTTAACGGTGTCCTATTTTAAATTCATAAAATCAACTAAACTGTAAAAGGAATCATCTATTAAAATACTATATATACTGTTTTGATTTAAAGTATTCTGTGTGACGACTCTTTTTTGTCATAAGGAAGGGCTTGGAACAACTCAATATTTGAGATTTTTCATATAGCTATATATTATATATTGGATATTGGCATATAGGATATATTCCAAACAATATCCCACCCATCCATGCCCTCCACTCAGTAATCCTATAATTTGTCCTCCCCCCCTTCCCCGCAATAATTTTCTTAAGTCGGCGACTATGTATCGCACTCCTATTGTAGAAGTTAAGATTCTGATAACAATAGAAATCCTTCGTGTGTGGTTATCTAGAATGTTAACGATAAACAACTAATAAAAATCATCGTTGTAATTTACTTGAATGCATAATGTATGATAAGAAGATTTTAAATCCAAAGTAGAGATATGTTGATCTTAAACAATGTTTATAAATGAAATTTTCTGAAAAGCAATTTGACATTAATTGGAGTGATGCTCATTTAATTAATTGATAATGAGAGAGATAATAAACATAATATATGAAAATGAGAATTAAGATATATAAAGATGTGGAGCAATGAGTGCAGTGTAGTAAGCATTTAATTGTAGGAATAATCCCTTTTTCGCTTGAAATAAGATTACGGAAAAGAATTAAGCAACAACAGAAGGCAAACAACAGAGAAATGGATAAATAATAAATATAATGGTAATAGAAAGAGAAAGTAAATAATTATTCAGTAGGTAATTTAGTGGAAATAATAGACATGAAAATAATAGAAGAAAATGTAAATATATATAATGCATATCAAGTGCATAATCAGTATATACATCAGATATATAAAAAAGAAAATATAAATATGTATACGTGCACATATAGACAAATAAATAGCAATACAAATACTAGCACATACAGACCATAAAGACCTATACACACGCCTATATATTGAAATATAAACATACATTGTATTAGCATGTCTTCGTACTTATCCTGTATCAACTAGATTATAAAATTTCGCTGAATATTACTGCGTTACCGTATCTTACATTCTTATCTTAGACTAGTCATTGATCATTTATATATTTGTTTCTCCATATATATATATGTCTTCGC